CGGGTCTCGAACCTGCGGGCTCAGGCAATCCACTCACCTCAGCCTCCCAAAGACGCGGGATTACAGGCTGACAGTGATGTTTTAGAACTGGCAGTTGTGGTGGCTCACGCCTATAATCCTAGATCTTTGAGAGGCTGAGGTGGGAGGATCCCTTGAACCCAAGTGTTCAAGACCACCCAGGGCAATGTAGTGGGACCGCTATCTCTTAAAAAAAAATTAGCCAGGTGTGGTGGCACGCAGCTGTAGTCCCAGCTTGGGAGGCTGAGCGAGAGGAAAGCTTGAGTTTGAGGCTGCAGTGAGCCATGATCTTGTCATTGCACTCCAGCCTGGGTGACAAAATGAGACCCTTCCTCAAAAACAAACAAAAAAACAGAAGAAGGATGTCTGGCTTTGAAAGTAGCTTCTGAAGCTTTTTGCAAATATTCAAGCATAATCTTATTTGTTCAAATGAAGCCATTTTAGCCTCACTGGCATATCTGCACAACCTACTAATACCAATGAAAATGTCAATCTGATGTTTTTGGAGAACTGTCCGACAAGACCAGCTGCATGTCCGCCATGTAAACCTAACACCCAAGGCAGGTTCTGGACACAGACCCAGAGTTAGGGCCTGGAAAGAAGAACACAAACGTTCACTCGTGACCACGGTGCAGGGCAGCAGCTGTCCTTTCCCCGTAAGGATGGGATGATCAACTTGCAATATTTCCACGTTCTAAGTTACAATTTGGGGGTGGGCGGAGTCTCCATTTATAAAAACTTCCAAGTTAAACATGAATTTCTGTATGTGACTAGGAGAACTACCCAAGTACCCAGCAGACATTAAAAAAAAAAAAAACCCTTCAAGGATTTTCATGGATCCTTACAGAATGGAGCATTAAAAGGAAAATAAAACCCTTCAAGGATGTGTAAGACCGTGCCGTCCCACGGAACCTCCTAGAATGACGAAAACACCCCATGTACACACTGTCCACCTCACAACCCATAGCCAGGTGTGTCTGTCAAGTCCTCACACACACCAGTATGACTGAATAACTGCATTTCTAGTTCATTAGCTTAAGTTAAAATTTAATAGCCACACGGGGCTACATGCTAGCATACTGGACAACACAGGATCAGGTAAGAACTTACTAAAGTACACAACAGCCTTTTCTGATGTCCTAGATCTAGAAATTATTATTATGTTATTGTTTCAAAAACATCACTATCAAAGATGACTTGCCAATCAAGCAACGTGGCTACATTATATCTAGTTGTTGACAAAAAAGAAAAATTATGAAAGCTCTTACTAGAGCTCTACATTCTTCTAAGATGAAATGAAATTAAGTTTTCTGGTCAGGTGTGGTGGCTCATACCTGTACTTCCAGCACCTTGGGAGGCGGAGGCGAGAGGACTGCCTGAGCCCAGGGGTTCAAGATCAGCCTGGGCAACATGGCGAGACCTCGTCTCTACAATACATCAAAAAATTAGCCAGGTGTGGTGGCACGTGCCTGTAGTCCCAGCTACTTGGGAGACTGAGGTGGAAGAATCACCTGAGCCCAGCAGGTTGAGGCTGCAGCGGCCACGAATGTGTTACTGCACTCCAGTCTGGGCAACAGAGTGAGACTTCAATTCAAGGGAAAAAAAAGAAGTAAGTTTTCTTCAGAGATTTGATTAATAATGGACTTTGTGAAAGAATAATCAATGAGGTCCTGAACCTTGTGCAGAGAATGTATCATCAAATCTGTACTAATCGCTCAGCCAGCTTTTTTTCCATACAAGATGAAACACGAAGAACAAACTGGTCGGCTGAGGATGGAGCCCTGCTTTCTGCTCCAGAGAACGCTGCGGTCTGCAGGCTGTGTTATACTGAAATCCTGTCCCCTTGTCTGCCCCCCCCGTGAGAATCTGGAGACCACAGGCCCTATCAAATCCGTGTCTTCTTTACTGTTTTTCTCTTATATGTTTTTAAGTCTTCACAGTAGGTGACAAAGAACCTTGGTCACAGTAAGGACTCAAACAAAACAAAACAAAACAACAACAAAAGCGCTTGTTTAAAGAATGAATGCAGAGCAGTGGACACTGCACATTTCCTGAGTCCAAGATGCAAGATGGAGCCTCATGGAATACATCACTGTGCTGTGACCTCCCCAACTCAACACCATCTGCTGTAAGAACAGTCTGGGTTCTGTGAAGCTTATCATTCTACTTCTTCTTGCCTCTGAATATTCCATTTTCTAAGCATACAGAAAGACATCCTAGGTTTGGACATTGGATAGGTCAAGACACATCAAGCTAGAGAAGCTTTTAAAAAAATCTAGGCCGGGCTCAGTGGCTCAGCCTGTAATCCCAGCACTTTGGGAGGCCGAGGTGAGCAGACTGCCTGAGCCCGCCTAGGCAACTTGATGAGACCTCATCTCTACAACAAATAAAAAATTAGCTGGGCGTGGTAGCGCATGCCCGTAGTTCCAGCTACTTGGAAGGCTGAAGCGGAAGGATCGCCAGAGCCCGGGAGTGGCCATTGCACTCCAGTCTGGGTGACAGAGTGAGACTCTAACTCAAAAAAAAAAAAAAAAAAATCTAGACAAACTGGAAAGTGTTATAAGTTCATAAATGATGATTAAAAATGAAGTGTTGGAGCCGGGCTCGGTGGCTCAGCCTGTAATCGCCAGAGCCCAGCAGGTCGAGGCTGCGGTGGCCAGGAGTGGCCACTGCACTCCAGTCTGGATGACACTCCAACTTAAAAAAAAAAAGAAAAAAAAAAGGTAAGTCAAATCTGTCTACATATAAAACCACAGAAAATTGTTTTATTTTTATTTTTTTATTTTTTGAGTCAGGGTCTCGCTGTTGTCCAGGCTGGAGTGCAGTGGCATGCTCATGGTCACTGCATCCTCAATCTGCTGGGCTCAGGTGATCCTCCTGCCTCAGTCTTCCAAGTAGCTGAAGTATAGATGCACGCTACCATGCCCAGCTTATTTTTTTGATTAACTGTAGAGACGAGGTCTCACCAAATTTCCCAGGCTGGTTTTGAACTCTTGAACTCAGACAATCCTCTCGCCTTGGCCTCCCAAAGTGCTAGAATTACAGGCTTGAGCCACCTCGCCTGACAGAAAATTGTTTTAAAACATATATGAGACTTTCTTTTGGGGGATGGGGTCCCACTCCATTGCCCAGTCTGCATTGCAGTGGCATGATCACAACCATCACAGTTCACGGCAGCCTCGACCTCCTGGGCTCAGGTGAACCTTCTACCTCAGGATCCTCAGTAGCTGGGACTACAGCATATGCCACAGCACCTGGCAGTTATTTATTTATTTATATAGAGTCGGAGTCTCACTCTGTTGCCCAGGCTGGAGTGCAGTGGCATGCTCATGGTCACTGCAGCCTTGACCTGCTGGGCTTAGGTGATCCTTCCACCTCAGCCTTCCAAGTAG